GTTTCTTCTTAATTTTAATGTTTCCTTGTTCTACTTGGATCTTCATTTTCATGGTAAGTTGTTAAGTATTAACTTTCTTTGAGGTTACCCTATAGCCAACTATCTTTTCCCTCCTTTTAAGAAGTCTATTATATCCTGCAATCTACCTGACCTCCTCACTTCCTGGATCGCTGTTCCTATATTTTCCCCTTCTTTGATATTGTTATTAATTTGATCCTTGTTTGGATTCACAGGTCCTCTGAATTCGTTGTTGTAGTTTTGTTCTATTATGAACTCTGCTATCTGTTGACTGAGTTCCAGGTGTAGTTGTCATGTCTGTGAATCTCTGGTTGTTGTCTGTTCTTGTTTCTTTTCATTCCAATGAACTCCCTTTAGGATGTTGTGAAGTACAGGGTTGACTTTTTTAAAGTTTCTTAGTTTTTGTTTATCCTGGAATGTTTTAAAATCACCATTGTATTTGATTGACAGTTTTGGTAGTTAGATGATTCTTGGTTGGCAGTTTTTTTCTGTTAGGGTTTTGTATATGTCTTTCCATTGCCTTCTTGCCTACATGGTTTCTGCTGAGAAGTCAGAGCTTAATCTGATTTGCTTGCCTTTGTAAGTAACACTTCTTTTTTCCCTGGCTGCTTTTAGGATTCTCTCCTTGTCTTTGATTTTGGAGAGCTTGATTATGATGTCTCAGTGATTTTCTTTTGGGGTCTATCCTTCCTGTGGTTCATTGAGATTCTTGAATGCTTATCTTCTCATACTTTAAAATGTTAGGGAAATTTTCTACCAGAAATGCCTCAACTATCTCCTCTGTGGACTTGTGTGTTTTTCCCTGTTTTGGAATGCCAATAATTCTTAAGTATTCCTCTTCATATTATCCGTCATGAATCTTAGACTCTCTTCAGATTTTTTTTATCCTTTTTTCTACTTGTTCTTCTATCTTATCAGTATTGAGAGATTTTTCTTCCACCTCCCTGGTCTGGCTTCCATCTCCTCAATTCTACTCCTTGCTTTTTCAGTGTATTGTCCTTTTCTGATATTTTATTATTAATCATTGGACCTCTTTTTGCAGGTTTTAATTTGTTTTCAATTCTATATCTATCTTGTTTGATTATCCCTGTAGTATTTTCCTGATTTCTTCCTTATTTTCCTCCATAACTCTGTGGAGCATTTGGATTTGTCTCCATATAATTCTTTTGAATTCCTTTCTCAGGCAAATCCAAATCCTGCTCTTCTTCTAATGGAAAGTCTATGTCTGTCTCCAGCTCATTTGTCTCAGTCACTCTTTTCTGATATCTTTTGTTGTTTATTTTCTTGGTCATTTTCAATGATTAAATGAATGTATATTTCTGTTTTGTTAAGCTGACTGGGTATCTCCTGGTGGATGTGATATAGAGATAGGCTTACCTTTACAAGTCTCTTATTACTCAGCTTAAGGCTATCTTTGCAAGTGTTGGCTATCTGTATAATGCCAGGCAGCTGGTATTGGCTCCTGTCTGGATGGTTGGATATTATGGTGTATGCTTGTAGCTTGGCTGTATGGGCACAGTTGCTATCTCTTCCTGGGTAACACATGAAGAGAAAGCTTCCACCCCAAGGAAAAAAGTGAGACCAAAATGACCAAAAACAGAAACAATATAAAAGTAGAGACAAAAACAACCACTCAAAAACAAAAATAAAACTGTAGCCAACTGTCCAGTAGCTTTTGCTGCACAGGTCAGCTTTGGTTGGGGTTATCCACTCATTCAAGACCATCCTCTAGTCACCACCATTGAGGTGCACAGATAGATATTGATAAATGAATGGAAGAAAGATTGTCCACTATTTTTATCTCTGAAGGTCAGGTAGGTATCTGCATATGCATAGCATAATTCTCAAAATGACTGCATATATAGTTTGGCTTTATGGCCAGATATGCTGTTTCTTGTTAGGTAAGGTTGGAATAAAGGGTCCCCACCTGGCCAATTTCAGACCTGAGTCCTAGTGTCAGATGTCATAAATAGCCATGAAAGGATTCGTTTTGGGGACTGCTTGGGCTCCCAGGGACCTCCTCCAAAAAGGTCCAGTGGGAAAATTGTGGGTTCAACACTGGACCTTTTTGGAGGTGTGCTCCCACCCACCTGAAGGTTTCTGGGTTGGGCAGAGAGGGTGTGACAGGGGAGAGAAGCAAAGAAAAGTGTAAAATCCATCACATCTCTTTTTCCAGATGCCTATCTGTGGTTTTTAGTGCTGTATCTCTGTATCAGCCTGGCTGTGACCCTGCCCTCTGATCTCAGCCCAGGCCAAGGGGCCTACAGGCAGAATCCCGATCAACTCAGAAATTGCTGTGCTTCCCCTCCACAATCAGATTTCCCCACTGGTGGGTGCAGGGAACTGATGCTATGCACCTTATATTATATCCAAAGCTCTGGAGCTGCTCCAGAAAAGCACTTTCTCTGTTTTTCTGTACCTCTGCTGAGATCATTTAACTTCTTGACTGCTGTTTCCATAAGTGTTGATTATGGATCCAAGCAAAATGAAGTCCTTTACAATTTTAATCTTCTGTGATAAAATAACTTTTATCACAAAGTTATTTACTGGTAAATTGTGAAGACTTTTGTTTTCTTTACATTGAGTCATCTTCATTTTCGTCAAGCAAGATCATATCATCCACACATGATATATTGTGAATTAGTCTTCCTCCAATCCTGATGCCAGGTTCTTTATATAATCCAATTCTTAGATTATTTTCTCAGCATAAATACTGAATAAATATGGTGAAACGATACAATTCTGGCACACAACTTTCCTGATTTTAAACCATTAAGTATCCCTTTGTTCTATTCTAAGAACTGTCTATTGGTCTATGTATGTGCAAGTTCTTCATGAGCACAATCAATTGTTCTGGAACACCTATTTTGTGCATAGTGAAAAGTTATTGCATAGTCAATAAAGCAAAAGTAAACATAATTCTGGTATTCTCTGCTTTAATCCAAGATCCATCTGATGTCAGCAATGATATCCCTAGTTCCATGTCTATCCTTTTCTGAACCCACCTTGAGTTTTTAGGACCTTACTGTCGATATACTGTTGCAACCATTTTTTAATTATCTTAAGTAAAATTTTATTTGCATGTGATATTAGTGATATTGTTTGGTGATTTCTGCTTTCCATTGGGCCACTCTCTTTGGAATGGACACAAATATGGATTTCATCCAATCTGTTGGCCAGTTTTCCAAATTTCTTGGCATATATGAGTGAGTGTCTCCAGAGCTGCATCAGTTTGTTGAAAGATTTCGATTTTATTCCATCAATTATTGGAGCATTATTTTTAATCAATGCCTTCAGTGCAGCTTGTACATTTTCCTCAGTACCAACTGTTGTTGATCACATGACAGCTCTTAAAATGATTGAAAATTGATCATTTTTCTTGGTATACTATCTTTGCATCCCTTCTCTCTTCTTTTGATGCTTTCTACATCTCTCAATATTTTCCACATGTCACTGTTGTTTTAAGTGCCATCAAGTTGGTTCTGACCCATAGCGACCCTGTATAGGGTTTCCTAGGAGCCAACCTTGAGGTTCAAACCCAGTTTGCAGTCTAGCACATTAACCCCCAGCACCACACCAGGACTCCATTTTGCACATAGAATCCTTCATTATGAACCTCAAAAATTAATGTTTTTCTTATTTCATTCAGCCTGAGAAATGCTGTGTACTTTCTTTTTAGTTTTCTAAATCTAAGCCTTTGCGCATTTCATTATAATACTTGAATTTGCCTTCTCAAGCTGCCCTTAGAAATTTTCTGTTGATCTCTTATACTTCCTCATTTCTTCGATTCACTTTAGTGCCTTCCAACATGAGAGGTTCATCTTTGAGAACTATATCTGACATTATTCTTAAGCTGTTCATAAAGTTTTCATTTTCTGACACTATATGTGACAATGTTTCACTGCTGTGTATGGGTTTTCAGTGACTAAATATTCAGAAGCAGTCAGCTTCTCCTTCCTAGTCTAACTTGGTCTGGAAGTTCCATTGAAATCTGTCCACCATGGGTGAATCCACTGGTATTTAAAATGCCAGTGGCATAGCTTTCAGCATTACAGCAATATGTAAGCCACCACAATATGTCAAACTGACAAAGTAGTGGTGCCCAATATTATATGTTGTTTCTGTTAAGTGCCATTGAGTCAGTTCTGACAGTGTTGTACTACTATTCATAAGGTTTTCAGTGTCTAAACATTTAGAAACAGTCTGCTTTTCTTTTTGCTAGTATGTGAGTTGAAACTCACCAGTTGCTCCTTGGAAACCTATCCAGAGTCACTATGAGTTGAAAATGACTCAACGGCACTTAACAACAACAATATAGCACAATTTAATGATAATTACAAATGTGAATGATATTCTTGAAGAACTTGTTGTTTTTATTTGTATAGGGTTTCCAAGGTGTGGCTGGTGGATCTGAACTACCAACATTGCAGTTCAAACTGGTCTTGTCATCCTGTGCTGATCCTACAGTGCCACAACTGGAACTCCATCAAATTTAGGACCATATTATAAAAAAATATAAGTTTAGTGACAATGCAACCACATATATACATATGGTGGTGGTTGGTGCTGGTGTGCCATGGAGTCAGTTCCAACTCATAGCAACCCTGTATAGCGATTTTGAGGCTGTTAATATTTCTGAGCCTCATCTTTGTTACACCTTCTCACCAGTAGTTTTGAACTGCTGACCTTGAGATTAGCAGCCTGACTCATAACCACTATGCTACCAGAGTTCCTTAAATATATACATATAAGATCACTGAAATTGTAGAAATATTCTACCATAATATTTACAATTCTTAAATCATGTGTTTTCTAATATAATAAACATGAAAAATAGTTTTAAAAGTAGTACTATAATAGAAGATCTTAATATCCTCAATTTAGTTTAAGTTTCTTTTACAAATTTATGAAATTTCAAATTTTCAATGTGGATAACTATAAAAAATGATATAAATAAGTATATCATTAAAAGAGTTACGCACTTTTGATTTCACAAGAATTCTGTAGAATTGATCGTCAAATTGTTTCACAGGATAAGTTCTTTGTAAGGGAGAAAAATCTATTTTATCATTTCCTATTTGATAAATCATATGCTCATATGTGCCAGCAGATTGCAGGGGTTCAATTCCATAACTGACATTCTCCAGCTGAAGTAATCCTCTGAAGATTAAATTTAAAAAGAAAATAAAAGCAATCAATATAAATTTCTCATCAAGAAAATTACATAAATATTAAGTAGACATACCTTCTATAAATGGAATAGTGATATTTGAGATGTACTTTCTATGAATCTTCCAATAATATGTTAACTTGCAAACCAATATTTTATACTTTCTTCTTTTATGGCATTTAATAATAGTTTTAGTTTAATAATAGTCTTTTATAGAAGAGTCACATTTCTTAACTATACTATAATCACACAAGTACATGATACCATAATTTAAGTAATACAAAATATGGTTTGAAAGTTAATCCTATGGATGATCCTTAGAAGTTACACAAATATCATTTTCTTATATAAGCAAAATATTTCTTTTTCCAGAGCCATTGAGGCTGAATGAACTCCCAAAACCATGGCTTCATATAATCTTTAAATTTTAAATAAAATTATCCCGTAAAGTCCTCTTTGAACCATGCACTATCTTACCTTAATTAGTAAAGAATATCTGCCTTGAGTATTGTGGACTTTTAGAAAATTGTCTATGTAACAGCAAAATGACTGCAGAAATTTAAAAGATTAGATGAGAAACATAAGAAGCAGTTAGTTTAAGTTGATGACAGTGAAATAATTTTGAAAAGGATAGAGAAAAATGGTTTTCAACTTGAATTTATTCAATATCAGTGAATTTTGCATGCAGAAATAGTTGAAATGGATTATCTTTTGCTGTATGTATTTTCACCAAGCTAGACAAAAATAAATGAATAAAGAAAAAAATAAATATAGAGGTTCTTAATAGTACAAAGAACTTTGTGTAAATTTTATAAATGAAAGCATGAAACAGACACAAAGAAAAGAAAATAACCAATAACAGAAAGAGAAGGAAGGAAAAAAAAAAAAGCATATGAGAAGAAAATATAATCAAAGTATGCATTTACTTTGTCTTCACACTATTAGTCTTTAAAATTTTTCAAAATGGAAGGGTCATGCAGCATCTTCAAACAGGTCCATCACTAGAATACATCATTACCTGAGGCCAGAACAGGCACTAAGTGTCACAACTGAGTTTGGAATTTCTGCAGCATGTCCTTGATAAAAACAATTAGTCTGAAAAATAGAATGAGGAAACAGTCACAAATGCTTCGTATATAATGTCTTCAATTTTAAATTTCCATATGCCAACAGACATTTGGACTTAGCCATCATCAAAACATTACTTTCAGTTTCTTCCATTTCTTTGTCTTTTATCTCAAATTCCTGTTAATCACCTTCTGCTTATGAATACCTATGACTTTCACCTGCCTCCAAATAATTCTTGCTATAGCTCTAAATTTTTCACAGCTTTATGATCATGCTTTCTTTCTCAGTGACAGTTCTGAATATATAGACCTGGTGATGATGTAATTGATAATATTCATTTAATGGTAACTGTAAATAATTTGCTTATTTTTCTAAGTTACTCCAATGTAATTTAACTGACATCTCCTCATTTTGATTTCTCTTAAATATATAATCATATTAATCATCCTTAAGTCAGATTCTTTTCCTTATTGATTTTTTTCTCACCCTGGTATGGTGCAGTGGGACAAAGCACTGGACCACAAGGTTGTTTTGAACCACAAGGTTGGCAGTTCAAGCTCACCAGAACTCATTGGAAACTCTATATAAGGTCGCTATAGATAGGAACTGACTTGCTGGCCTTTACCAACAACAACAATGTTGGGAGAGAACCTGTTGAGTCAGTTCTGACCCATAGTAATCCTGTACGGTTTCCAAGGAGTGGCTGGTGAATTTGAACCATCAATCTTACGGTTCAAACCAGCCTTGCAGTCAAGTGATTATCCTACAGCGCCACATGAAGACTCCATCTTCAATTAATTCTCTAATCCCTTTTCATTAGCTTGTTGTTGTTGTTATTAAGTGCCATTGAATCAGTTCTGACTCATAGTGATCCTGCTACAGTTTCCAAGAAGCAGCTGGTTAGCTTGAACCACCAACTTTGTTGCAAACCAACTTTGCAGTCTAGTGCATTAACCCATAGCACCATCTATAAAAAGTCTTGGATCCTTTAATAATCCTTTGCTACAAAAACTTCAGTACCAAAACATTATATCTTTTGAATGTGTCATAGTTTTATTAACTCCCAGATATACACCTCCATCTGAGACCATTTCCCTTATTTTATAACTATATTTAGTCTCAAAACCTACCCAAAGACAGCAGTAGGTAAGAGCTTTCTCTAGTATTAAAGTAAGAAAACTTCATGCTGACTGATCTATTTCACACACAACACACAGAGGCGAGAGCATGCTTGATGTGTTCACATGAGCAGGGTGAGCTAAGTAGAGAGATCCATTTCCTGTTTTATACTAAATGACAGGAGCAGTTACTTCCACATGTACTGGTGTCAGCAGACTCAGTAGTTACTGACCCTTCACCCAAAGGAGGAAGACAAAAAAGATCCCTATCATTCAGCCCATAGACGATGGTACTCCATTTTCTGGCATTGGAGGAGAAATAATCCTAACAAGATATTTCTCAATGTTGCCATCCTCCAAACAGCAAAACTATGGGCATAAAAATGTTCCCTCACCCAGAGACACCAGTAGAAATAGAGATAAGCCAGGGTACTACATTTATTTCTTACACTTAACTTGCAACATCAGGAGACCCAGGAAACACTCTGCTTCTAGATTATACACCGACAAGACCATAAAGAGCTCCAATAGAGGCAGAAGAAATAAAGCAAATCAGAATAACATTGAAACCCTAAGAAAGCAAAATTTTCATTGGAACTGTAACACACAGAAAGCCTATATGCAAAATGTGGTGCTGACTTCTACAACAGATTTAATAAGGCCAAGATTTTTCTAATATATATCTAATATACAATTAAAAATCACTTAGAATACCAGAAACCCAGAAAAGCCCACCTAGAATGAGAAAAGACATTAATGAAGTCCAATATTAAGATGAGTCTCATGATGCGACTACATGGAAAAGATTGTTTGCAGTCATAGCAATATGGCTTCAGAAAGCAATCACAAGACTTTTTTAAATAAATGAAAGAATAAATTATTTCAGCAAAGAAATATATAATAAGTAACAACAAGAAAAACCCCTCAGAATTCAGAAGAAATAGAATAAATAAAAATGTGATAAAGGAAAAAAAATGTCAAATAGTTTCACTAGTAGATCAGAGATTGGCTCAATAAGCTTGAGACCAGGTCAAGAACTTACTTAATCCAAATAACAGAGAAAAAAAACAGGCTACCAAAAAAATACATATACTCAGGTGACTATGTAAAAGAAATAAATGATCAAATGCACATATCATAAGAATCTCAAAAGAAGAGTAAACAAATACAGGGTTGGAAAAGTATTCAAAGAAATAATGGTTTCAAATGTCACAAAATTACTAAACAAACTGCAAGTAGAATGAACCTAAAGTACTCTACAATACGAGACATCATACTTAAGCTAAAAACAATGAAAACACTAAAGGAAACAGAGACTAATGCATGACCTAGAAGACACCAATTTTAATGGCAGTCAATATTGGAAATCATGATGCAATAGGAACAAGAAACCGTATTTTTCATACCCTGAAAGTGAAGCAGTCACACATGCATTCTATTTTTGGCAAAATGAAGTAATAAAACATTTCTCAGACACAGGGAAAATAGGAAAAGATGCCATTATCACACATTCTTTTAAATAATAGCTTAGGAAGACCTCTCCAAATGAAAAGAAGTTATATCATAAATCATATAATAAGAATATTTGGAATATAAGAAGAAAATAGAATACTTAAACATAAGAATAAATACGCTATTTGCCCTCAAAAGTTTTAAAAATCATGTTGGGTCTTTGAAACAAAAATTATAATAATTGTAAGGAAATACTTCAGAAAATACATTTTTAAAGTGAGAAGAGAAAAGCCACCTAAATGACAATAAGGCTTCAATACTTCACTAGAATGGGCTAATAGTTCATAAATTGCTGTTGTTGTTAAGTGCCATCAAGTCAGTTCCAACTCATAGTGACCTTGTATAGGGTTTTGAAGGATCAGCTGGTGGGTTTGAACTGCAGACCATGTGGTTAGCAGTCCAGTGCTTATCCTACAGCACCACACCAAGACTTCAAAAATAATAAGTAATATGTATATATACTGGTTACAATACTTACAGCAAATGTAACAACAAAGCAAAACAGAAACAAACAATAAGAAATACAATATTTAGACTGTATAAATAAATCAAGATGAAATCCTAAAAATATTCAAATAATCTAGAAGAAGATAAGAAGACAATGACAGAGGACTGAAATACACAATACATGATTAGAAATACACATACACACACATTAAAGCTATAGCATATAAATAGTTACTTGGAAAGTAAATACCCTAAACATATCAAATAAGAGTGTCAGAGTAGGTGGAAAAAAATGACTACATACTCTTTATAAGAGACATTTCAAACACAACATGGGTTAAGGTAAAGTAAAATAATATAAAAACCTATACCATAAAAAGATCTATTCAAATAACAGATGAACAGCAAGATAGCAAACTAGGTAGACACACTATACAGACCTTCTACAACAAATATACAGGAAACCAAATCAAACAGTCACAGATGATAATCATGGAACTCTGAGCTTCAAAGGAAAGGGCAGAAAAGAGGACTGGATAATTATTAGAAGTTAAACAGTGGGGAACAATAAAGAAGAAAGACAGGTGAAAGTATGACTGACCTGACTAGGCACAATCATCTTGAACTTTTTTGTGCAGCTTTGGAAACAAAGGGTAGCCTGATGGCACAGATGTATACTAGTGACTGACATCAAGAAAAGTAGGATTCTTCCTGTTTCCCACACTCCTCTGGTGACCAGAGGTATGAACAGCCACCATCCTCTTCTAGCTCATGCATGGCTTCTATTCCACTAGAGGTCAGGGCCACCAACTTGATGATAGGAGTTGGGAGCTGGTTGTCAATAAGCTTTGCTACTTCAGAACTACAGAACACACAGGCTCAATTCCTGCCACACCTACAGCAGCAAAAACTCTAATAACCATCTGTCCTCCTGACCTGAATGACCTTAACCTCAGTTACAATTAGTCTCCACAAACTGCTTCCAGTTAGGGTGCCCTAACCATAGACAATATCTCGCCCTAAAGAAATTCCGTTTAGGGCCTGGAGTGCTATACTCTCATCCCTCCCTCTTCCCACATCCTGAGCTCATTGGCTAGCAGAAACACCCCAGTTTTTTTCCTCTCTGGTTCTGGCCCCTGTGCTCATTTTCTTTTTCATTGTTTTTGTTTGTTTTTTCTTCCTTCTCCTTCTTTGCTTTTCCCTCCCTGCTTTTCTAACCCATTTCCACTAAACTTTTTTCTTCTTTTCTTCTGTTCTCCTTTTCCCACTTTTTTCTTCTTACCTTTTATTCTCTTGAGTTTTCTTTACCATTCTCTAGTCTTTTTATCTTTTATTCTTCCTTCTCCATAGCTGTGTTTAGTGCTTTCTCATTAATATTATTTTCTTTCTTATTTTTATCTTCCATGATTTTGTTTTCATTTCTTTTTCCCATTTTTAATTATGATTTTTTTTCTTACTACTGTCTGTTTTCCCTTTTAATATTTTCTTTTTCTCTTTTGTTTCATTTTTTGTTATTTCTTTGTTTTCTTTCTTGTCTGTGTATGTGTTTCCTCTTCTTGTCCCACTAAAAAATAGGCAACTACTGTGTCCATCCATACAAGCCCCCCACAACCATGAACAAAAGCCAATATCAGCACCTGTACCATGTTATGAATGATAGATAGCAGCCAACAGCAGCCAACCCCCTTATAAACTGAGTTGAAAGAATGGTGAAATGGAGAACCGTTCACACACTTCCATACTTTAATTACTCTCACCTGGAAGAAGCTGGTGAGTACTTAATACCACACACACAAAAAAAAGCATCAATTAAATGCAAAAACAGAGAAACAAAATAACACCATAAGGTCTCTGAGGCAACTCAAGATTTTAATATATATGGAGAAACAAGACAAAGTGCCTTAAAAAGCAAGCAAGATGCAGGGTCAGGAAATATTTCTGAGAAATAAAAGGTCTTATAAATACTTA